AAACAAAAACAAAAACAAAAAAACCTGACCCAACTGAAAAGCCTAGCCAGTTGACTATAGAGTATAGATTCCCAACAGGCGTGGATTATATGAATGAGTGGTTATTGTGATGCAAAATCTTTTGGGTTCTGAGCACCCAGATTATCATTAGTGAAACATACCATGATGTGAAACATCAGTTTTGTCTTTCTTCCAGTTCAGGAAGTAAGAATAAATGCAAGAATTGCTTTTTATGTGGTTAATATTTACAATAGTAATTAGGGAAATTTCAGGAAGGCAAATTATTCCACAGTACTTTAAAAGTCAGATTTCTGAGTAGAACTGAGATTTATTGATTTTTTGTTTTATTTTGTATACTTTGTTTTTAAACATATTTCTGTCAGTAATAACTCCTTAAAGTATCTGGTAGAATTTAAGCTTGTCCAATTCTCGTTTAAGGAGCCTTCATTTAAGTAGGTGATAAGTACTTTTCTTTGGGATTTTCATGAATATTTCAGTTTTATAAAAATATTTTGATATGTTCTTAGAGTTTTTACTTTTTGCTGTACTGTTGAGATTTCCACTTTCCTGTTCTTCACGTTACTCTTCCCAATGATAATCCTGTTTCAACATTTGCAGTAACTGAATATTTCTGGATGCCTTTATTCCTTTTTGTGCTCCCTGTTCAGCTGAAACTTTTCCTTTTTGTTTGACCTGAGATTTGTTTCTAAAAGGGATTAATGATCATTGGATGACAAGGTAGTCCTTCGTAATAGAAATGTACTTAATAAAACAGCTATAATGTGTTTATTGTTAATATTTTGCTGAACATGCAAAGTTGGCCTTGAGAAAGTGGACACTAGAGACAACAAATCTAGGGTGTACCATCATTTTGATCATAAAGCGATTACCAACTCCAAAAGTCATTGTTTTCTTCCCTACACCGTAACTTCCCTTCAGTTTTACAATCTGAGTATTTGCTTCTGTAGTATTACTGAACAGGGATGAATATAGAAGTCTAGATTGGATCTTCACAGCTTAACATTGCTGGGAACTGTTTCTGTTATACACTAATAGACTAGGAAATGAGAACTGAAAAAGAGAGAAATAGTGGGATTCCTGAACCAAATATAAGAGCTAATGACCAGAAAAGAGTTTAATA